AACACTGAAACTAGCAGAGGTAGCTTAGTACTGCATCCCTGCTTTCCTCCATCCCTCCCTTAGCAGAATTTCAGAAAATGATGGGCATGGGATGCTCACAATCCAGGCACATAAAGCTAAGAGCCATCTAGAGCTGATCTGCATCAGCACCTAACAGTGCTTTTTGAAATGCACATGCAGACATGAATGAGGCCATCAAGCCACCTCAGACCACTGTGGATCACAGTTGTCCCATTCTGAGAGGTGAGCTTTCCTCTCCCAACACCTCTAATGATTGCAGGTGTTTCTTGTGCTACCTGAATTTTTCTTTTGACCTCTTATTTAAGGTAGACTAGTTTTTACAGAAGTCTTTCTCATTATTTCCAGAAAATCATGAGGAGGAACTACTTTCCAAACTCCAGTTTGTTGTACTGGAAGATAGAAATAGACCTGCTGGGATTAACCCAAAGAACATGAACTTGACTGAATCACAGCACTGAATTTCTTCCCTGGATGTTCTGAGACTTCTTTGAACATTGAAGATTAGCATTTCACTTAGGCTGATACTAGCAGTGTCGTTAATATTTGAAAGCTGTGTGGTAAATCTAATTTTCAGGTTTGCATGTCAAAGTTTAGCATATACTGGAGCACTTTGACATATAGATGTTGTAGTTACAATTTAAATGTGTGTTATATCTTAGCATTTCATGGCCCTGATATGCAAATATTAGAGGGTTAAAACTGGTGAGTTGTAACCACAATGATATGGCTATCTCTTTTGAATAATTAGTACATGATAGAACAAAACAATAGCATCTCACAAAATGTGATTATGGTCAGTCAGCACTTGAAAAATATTTTGTTTGGTAATTTTAATTTTTTACCTCAGATTTTACAGGGAGGATGTAGGCAGTGTAAAGCATCTCCAGATTATACCCTCATCTCCAAGGATCAGTATGTAGTGCTAAAGGTGGTGTCAGAGCAGCTTTGTGGTTCAGCAGCAGTCAGCTGAAGTGGCACACTAATATCCTACCAAATTCATTTGCATTCAAAATGGCAAGAAACAGTGAGCTTTATTAATAGATTTTATGTGCTCTGTGAAATATGTAGGTGACAAATCTTCATGGGATTGTTTCAGGGAAAAGACCTAGATTAAGTCTCATTTTATAGGCTCTGAAAGAAGGCCAGGGAATGCAATTCTAGAGCACTGTTGGTCAAGTATATTTGCATCGATGTCCAAAATAATCTACCAGGGATTCTGCAGTACTTGTTTTGCTGGCTGTCAGGAGATTTTCTATATCTAAGTCATAATGCATCAAATTAATTGAATCGATGATTTTTAACAAACAAAAAGCATACTAATGTATACTAAGGTAACTTGAACTTCTCTCCCCTCCCACAATGGGCTGCCTCTAAGTGAATATTCCAGAATACTGTGATTTTTACGAAGACAACTGGGGCAAATACCTATAAATTCAAACTAAATACTGTTTTCCTGAAGCAACTGTAGTGAATGTGACTCAAGTTACTGACCTAGTTGCAAGCAGACCTGCAATGGAAAACATATGCCAGATTGCACATGTGAAGGATCCCAGCATGCGATAACCACTAGGCTATAAGATGTTGCAGAATAATTCTGTGCTGTGGTGAATTGTCCATGGTAAACTACCCTAGTTCGTTCCATTGAAATAAAAAGTACTAAAGAAATTAAAAGATCCCGGATCTGAGTCTTGTGCTCCGCTGCTGTAAATCAGCTACTGTAGTCCCCTCACTTCTGGGATGTGGAACAAACCCCACATGGCAGCCTGTGGGAGTGGGCTGGTAATCAGAAGGCAGAATAACTTTTTAGGGAGCTTTGAAAGAAATTTGGAAACAAAATTTATAGCTGAATATTAATCCGGTGAAGGAAAAATATGTTGATTTGTTTATACAAGGAAGAAAAAGGCTGGCTGTAGCATTTTGTGTCCTCTGAGTTCAACATTACTGCCTCACTTCAGCACTTTCCTTCTAGTGTGAGATAGACAGCTGTGTAGACACATAGAAGAAATTTCAGCAGAAGTTAGACTTCCTCTTTTATTTGAGATTGGTATTCTGAGATCAGATAAAACAAGACTACGGACAAGAAAAACAAAACACTATGGAGAGCTCTTCTTACCTACACTGCCAAGTCCAAGTTGAGGCATTTTGATAAGGAAACAGATCTTTGAAACAAACAAATGGACAGTAGAACAGAAGCAGGACTAGAAAGAGGCTCATAGGACACTTGGAAATAATTGGTGGGTTTCACATAATGCACAGTAACTTTCAAAGCAGCAGAAGAATCATTGAAGACAAATACCTTATAGCAACACAGAGTGCAGGAATCTGATCCACTGGTGGGATGATTTTGGGGAGAGGTGGAGGGAGAAAACAGGATTGGAAAGTATGAGAGGTTTCATTGATGAGCTGACTCCTGTTAAACATGACCTGTGGCATTCATTAAACCAAATTATGTAGTCTTAAATTATAATAATTTTCTTTGAATATTCCAATTTTTAGGCTACATCCCTATCCGTTCACAGTAGGAAGTAAAACTAATTATGCATTATTTGTTACAAGAAGTTTGTTTATGCCATATATAAAAAACTGGATCAAATAGATACCTTAGGTAAAACACTTCTTAGCACTAGTATTTTTGAAACAAAGGTATCATTAGGGCTTAGATTAAAATCTGACTCTTCTGAAAACCATGGAAGAATTTTATGTGAGAAAGCAAATAACACATAACAAAACCACCCTCTTCCCTGCTATATCCCCACAGGATTTAAGTCTCTCCAGAAATGGAAGAAACAATACTCTGCGGATAGTCAGGAATGCTTATAGGGGTTAGTTTTAACATGATAAAATAAAGCACTGTATAGGGATAATATTCTTGCAGAGTCAAAGGACATGAAAGTAAAAAGGGCTGAGTCAAGGAGAGGCAGAATTAAGTATACAGGAGACACACATTTAAAAACCCTTCTTTATCTGGGTCATGCTCTACCTTCCTGATGCAAAATACCCAATTTACTGGGCCCTCACCTCAGTGGTACCAGAAATTTTTTAGTACAAAACTCTATGTGCTGGCCTTCGTAAGCCTATGATCAAAGTGACTATCCAATTTCCACCCACTGTATGCAGGCTGCCAATTTAAATATTTACTACCCCTTGAACTGGCCAGCCAGGAGCACAGCAGCAGAAAGGAGTATGAACCACACGTGTACTGCCACTGACCTGGTACACATTCTGTTTTCTGGAAAAGGTACAAGAGTAATTTGAAGTGAACATGCTGTGGCTGCTTTAGTTAAAGTCATTATGTGCTTTAAAAAACCAAACATACAAAAAAAACCCCACAACCAAAAAAACCATTTACAACTATGCTGCAGTAAGAACACTGCTTGAGTAATCTCAGAGAATTGTCCTTGCTATAAGCCTACCAATTAAGATATGTTGTTTCATTATAGAATAGGAATTATTGAAGCCATTGTGTATGAATTTCCTTTTAAATGCTGTTGTTCTATTAAGTGCCTTCAACAGCTAGTCATTTTCTTCCCATAGCCAAAGTGTCTTTGAAACACGGTGATAAATTGAACAAATGGGAGAAAACTGAGGGTTTTTTTTACTTCTGTTGTCATGTGTGCTTTGCCTTCAGGAGGTAGGAAAATTTCAGGTGGTCCCTGCTAAATGCAAACACTTTCTTCTACATAAAACATCTAGTTCAGAAAAACATAACCTCTTCATCACTAATAAATATTTGAGGCAAGCTCTAAAGATTTTTTTTCTTTTTCTTTGCATTTTGCTGACTAATAGAATGTAATGGTCAGAAAGATGCTAGAAAAATCATCTTTGTAAAGGAAATATTTTCTTGCTTTTGACAATCCTATCCAAAATAAGATGTTTCAGTGCAAGAACAGATTACAAAGCCCACCTTGAGTTTGATGTGTGTTTTATTCCTGCAAAACCACAGTGCACTGATTGCTGGATTACCGGTGTCAGAGCTGCCCTGGAATGAAATGTTCTACCTTAAGGTCCAACATAGCTCCTGACCATAGGAACTTGGCTAGATATTGGGCAGTTATGGAAGCACTTTAGGATCCCATCACACCTGGTGGCCTCAAGAGGCCACTCAAGGATTCAGGGGAGCCTTTTGCACCTGCGCAGGAAGTCTTGGCTGCATATTGGTTTCACAGACTTTACTTACTGGAGAACAGATAATATGTAAACTTTAGACACAGCTATATAGATATACTGAATATTCTCAGACAGAATATTGATGTCCCATTTATTATCCACATAGTAGTTTACTTTAAATAAACATTTTACTGAGTCCAGTCTCAAAAGTGATAGGACTACAAACTCAATACAACTTAAAATTTCATTTATCCCTTATTATCACTACTATCCAGAAAAACTTTGTCACTGTTTTGCAGGTGTTTCCTCAGATACTCTTAATAAGGTGACCTCCTGTTTCCTAATTATCATTTACAACTAGGAAAAAATATTGTGAACTTAACACATGCCACAATTTCCCCACCTAGCCTAGTTTAGTACTGAGAATAAACTAGTCTTCCCTATACTAGATACAGAGATGTATTTAGATTTGCTCTGTTCTCAGGATTCTAGGTATCAGTTTCTCTTCCTCATTCCAATCAATGCTGCTTTTTGCTGCCATTTTTGGTTTCTTGCCAATTTATTAATATCCTTGTCATAGCACGGTGTCCAGAATGTAACAGTAATCCAGCTGCAGCCTCACAACCACTGTACATGTGTTCCAGCAATGTCATTTCTGTGCCATTTCTAAGTGCAACTCTCATGGTAGGAGATTCACATTGTTTATAAACATCTCAAATCATGTAATTAAACTTTAAAGGAATATTGGTACTTGACTCTTACCTATGACTTTGAGAAATTCTTAGAATCACAGGTAAGAGAGAAGCAGAAAACTCAGTAGCAACCACTGCTCACCTCTAGTGTTTTCCTTAATTTTACTTTTTTTTTTTTTTTTAATTTTCATTGGGAGCCCCTTGCATTTAACATTTTATGTCTGGCTTTCATTCTTTTGTAGAGTGCTACAAAAAGTACTTCATAAGCATACACCTGTTCAAATACCTTTTTCTTTTCACTTTATCCTTTCCCCCAAAAAACCTCTCCAGGTTTGAAATGCATAGCTATCTGGAAGGAGGAATGTGTTCTTCTAGCTTTTTTATGGAATACACTGAGATTAGAATTGCTCCTTACAGAATTTTATTTACCCTTAGTGTTTTGGTAAAACACTATTAGAAATAATTTTCCCTTTTTGGCTATTAAACTTATGCAGTGGTTAATTGTAGTGCCTGCTGCAAGGAGCTTTTCAATGCTGTGGTTAGCAGGAAAGCTTAAAAAGCTGAAGCTGTTTAGAAAGTTCACAATAGATAGTTGACATATTTTTGCTTCTTGTCAGCTAGTGCTCTCATAAGACCATAGAGAGCATGAGTGAACGTAGGAGGAAACAATACATCTGCAGACACTGGTAGACAGCATTGCTTGCCAAATTTGGCCACAGTTCCTTTAGATAAATAATTTCTCAGTGATGTACTGTGTTGAAATTATATAAACAGCAAAAATTACCAAGACCTGGGCCCCAGGGTCTTGTGGATTTCAAGATTTTCTGCAATCAATATTCTGACATCTGCAAATATTTTTCTCTAACAGCTGATGCCAGGAGCAGAGCAACTTTACCATTACTTTCTATGTATTCAAGATTTTTAACATATTGAAATGTCTCTTCATCCCCAGCCCTGGTCAGGACCTTTGCACTATCATAACCACCAGGTAATGAGAAGGCTTATACAAAAGTTATCAAAGCAGCAATCTTTTTTTCAGAATGGCTTATAACCTCTTATAGCAACAACTCCACTAACGTTTCAAGAAATGTACATGGAAAAACACTGTATTAAGTTTCAGAATTATCAAGGGTTTTAAAGTAACCTCTGCTGAACATAATGCAATTTACTTTGCACACTGAATGTACAGGGTTAGAGGTTATTAAGGTTGTTTCTTCTACTTAGGACCAGACAATAGCTAGCTTTTAGCTCTCTGGTAAGACTTCCTTGATAATTAAGATACTTCCACTATGACAGTCATATACACTAGAGCTATCTGAAAAGTGTTTTCTATCACTGAGAATTTATGCAGGAAATAAACATGCATAATACTTCCTGAGCAGAAACACCCCACAGGAAAACCTTACCTGATTTTTATAGAAGCATCTCTAGACAATCTTCTGAAGTTATAAAAACAAATCCTTTATTTAACAGATATTCTTTTAAAAAATAAGGTTCTGTAACAGAAATCAAACCTATGCATGTCACATGAGACATTCTGAAGGCAGTTGCTGTTAATAGTGAGTTACTGGCACTGAGGAAATATGGGCTATGCAAAATGAGTAACTGCATTTAGTACTATTGCCTAAGTAGGAAAGACCAGACAGGAATGAAAATGTACTTTAAAAGTTATGCTTTTCTTTTGATGATATAACTTCCAATACCTGGCCCCTCCTAGCAACACTCTCAAAGTAGTAACTGTTCTCTGAAAATATTCTGAAGAAAATTAATACACTTTGTTCCATTTTCAGTTCCCCATGTACTAATCAGGAACAAAGCAGAGATATGTAAGTATGTAAAAAAGTCTCTCAAGCACTTTATTTCAGTCCTACCTTAAGGCAAATTTGTAAATTTTAAGGGAGTATCTTGAGAATTAAGCACAAAGCTTGTGAAATTCTTTCTTTGTAATTTTTAATCAAAGTTAACTCTCTCAAAGAACAGGTGTGCACTGCAATAACCCCTCCGAAGTGTCTTAGGATAAAGACCCTGTTAGTGATGTTTATGTAGTTTCTACATCTGCAAGTATTTCTTAAAGTAAATTGACATTTGCAGTCCAACTGTATCATGACTAAATTTCAGTAGTTCTGTACACAGTGTGATGGTATTCCAATGAGTGTAAATGTTGAGGGCAACAAGGTAAAACTACCTCAGTATCTCATTTCCACATAAAACATGTGAAAGCAATAATAGAATATGGTATCTTCTCAGAGTCTCATGTCTTTAAAAAAAGGATGCAGCAAAGCCTCTTTTGCAGTTATTCTTGTTGCAGGGTTTAAGTCTAGTAGCTTATCAAGTAGGTCATATGCTTCGTCAGGAACCTGATCCCATCCTTTCGTGTCTGTTGCCTTCATTTCCAAAATACCATTACCTTCCGGAAAGCTCTTTAAGTGTTGAATTTGTTTTCCAAGTGTCTCAGGAGCACACTGTTTGTCTACTGCAACTGGCAAAGCTGAGTCATTTACAGACTTGCTGGGCACTTCACCCTGGGATCTCTTACTGCTGCTATTTGTTCCTCTCAACTTCTCACAGAGGGTTCTTAAGTTTTGTGCTGGGACAACTTGGGTACACAGAACTGATTTACCTAGAAAAAATATTTTACAGTAAGTGACATTTTATTATATTTTCTATGCAACTGTAACTTCTAAGTTTGTTTCTGAGAAACTTCATGTCTTGAAGTGTAACCAGCATTAAAAAAAAATTCAAACCTCTCAAAAAAACACATCCAACCCCCCAACTCCTCCAAACCAGCCCTGCTTTACAGCAATAGCCCCAGCAAGTCAGCAGGGTAATAGTCTTGGTTCTGCTCAGAACAAAGCTGTTTGAGGTTGTTCATAACATTATGTAGTGAGAGGTGGTCACTCACCCCACACACCATCTTTTTGCATTTCACTGTCATTTTAACAGAAGAAAATTAGATACCCTGATTTTTACACCTCTGTCTGAAGAATGAAAATAGATGCTGTGAGTTACACTTCCAGGTAGCAAGTGCTGCAGCATTTGGCCTGCAAATAATTAGGGGAATGGTTATTTTAAGGTTTTGTGTGTTTTGTGGTGGTTTTTGTTTTTTAAACAGGCCATCTGTTGGGTTTTGGTTTGGGTTTGGTTTTTGTTTGGTTTGGTTTTCTTTTTATTAGCCCTTCTAGAAGCGGGGGGAAGCAAGGTTTACATCATCTAAATATTAAATCATATTGACTTAAGCCTCCAGGGCAAATTTTTCAGGAATAGAAACACTGACTCAAGAATTCTAACCAAATGCCAGTAGAAAAAATTTAGTTGGCGTATTTCACCTTAAGTGGCCCTGAATGAAAGGCAGCAGACAGGCTGGGAAACCTATGGCATGAAGAACCCCAAATACAAATGAGAAAAGATAGAAAAATACAAAACTTTCTTAAAACTCTGTATACATAGATTAGTACTTTTAGTGTTTTACACAATAAAAGTGTAATTTATCTCCAAGATGAGTCCCAAACCTAAAAATATAATTTTATATATTAAAAAAAAATAATCATAGATTATAAGTCCTTGCATTAAATAGCAGACCAAGCATACGTTTTCCCATTTCCCCATAATTAAGGCTTGCATACCAAAAGTTTTAGCAGCCTGAATGGTTTCTCTGGATCCACGAACTGTCATGATTTGTGCCAAAGCAGTTAAATCATCACTTGCTTTGTAAAATGGATACCGTCCACTGAGCAGAGAAAGGAATATGATTCCCGCAGACCACATGTCAATTGCTGCAATTGAAAGCAAACTTAGTAATAACTGAACTCACCATTTTATCACAAACAAAATCACAACTTTCATTAAAAAAAAATTATGACCTGAGTAGCTTCTGTCAGAAAAAGTTATGTTCTGAAGTACTTACTGACTTTGGTCACATAGATAACACTTTAGCAAACAGTGGAAATTATTATAATTAGATGGAAGAATGATTTCCTGCTTTGATGTAGAGGGAGTATTTAAGCTTTTCCATAGAAATTTTCATGAGTAATTCCATTAACTTGCTAAACTTAAAATGTACAACAATGATGTTTGAGGTTGTTTTACCCAGGTTGATGAGAGGGTGAAAAACTCACTACTTTTGATACTTACTGATGTTTGCTTCACATGAAGAAAACCTTAAATAAGGATCATAAATAACAAATAATTAACAAATGAATGTGAATCTGAATTTTTCTGGGACTGAGGCTGCCAGTTAAGCAGTACTAAAAAAATTTATCTTACTATGAACTTTGTTCCTCTCTAATATGAAATCACCTGACAAGATAGCCAGTTTAAGAACTGCAATAGTTAGAAGTTATTCATCACTTTCATTGTGTTATGAAGAGTACAGAGAGTACTCTGGGGAAAGACGCCAAAGTGCGATGGAAACTTTAATACTAGAAGTTATGAGAATACCTGTCTGCCATAATTTTTTGGCTCACTAAGGTGCACATTTTGAGAGATGGCAAGGAAAGTGAAGGAGAGCATTTGAAGGATTCTCAAACTCTAAAGAGAAAAATTAAGTTGGGAAATAAAACCATAATTTTTTTGAAGAGAAGTAGAATAACAAATAGTAAAATAGGCAGTAATTAATTTGGACATTTTAGTTAGAAACACTATTACCACAGGACTTCGGGGGCAGGGGGGGGAAGAATATTAAGTTGACTTCACTTGCAAAACCAGATTTTATGTCTTTTATTAAAAAAATAAAAATCCAAGTTAATCATTTGGCACAATTGACAGTGGAAAAATTTTGTATCTTCTTCATAGTTCCTGTAAAAAAGTTTTAGTATTACTGTATCACTGTTGAAAAGATCATATTATTTGAGGTGTTGTGCATCATCCTGATTATGTGGTTGGGAAAGATGGAGCCATCAAGACCTTTAAATAAGTTTAACTACTTAACTCTTACTGAAATTAATAGACTTTATATGTCTGAATGGCTAGTAAATCCTGGCCCTACAATTCTGGTATTGCTGGGATCATCATCAGACTGCAAGATCCTGTGCAATATTATCAAAATCATGACTACTCTCTATGCTTTTTGTCTAGTGCTATCCAACTAGTGAGGTAGAGTGAGGAAACGGGAGCAGAGGGACAAACCAAGTAACTAGACCCATATAACGTCAGCCTGGGAGTTTAGGTTGTATTCCCTGCACTGTGAACCTGGATCAGATCCACTAAGGTAGCGCTAGATAATCAACTGGATATAGCTGTTAACTTCATCTCAGCACAGAGACCACAACTAGTAGTAAGATTGGAAGGAATACAAGGAGGTGACTACAGCAGTCCCAGATGGAAGTGGAAATTTGTTAGTTCAAATACAACAATCTCACAAATAGTAGCATTAGTCTACCCAGTTCTAGTTAAGGCCTTCGTTGACATACTACAGGAGCTCGACACCACTGACTCAGTACTTTTTAGGGCTGTCTGTGCCACACCCAAGGGTTTCCAGATTAACCCATATTTTCTGTAATCCTGCACTTCATTGCTCTAGAGAACAGAAAACTGTCTGAAAGCATACTTAACACCAGCATGTGTCCAAGATTTCCTAGGTATTTCTTCTTTCTGCCTAAATTCTGTCTAGACAGATTCAGATATTGTCTAAACTTGTCTTGGATTTCTGGATGTCTTCTAGCCATAAAGCTGGCTGTTACAGCACAGGCACAGTAACTCCAAACAGGCTGCCATACCCCTTGAAACCCCAGTCATACTCACAGCGCAGATGTTGTTTCAAACAACAAGAAGCTATCTAGGGATAAGCTGATCAAATTTATGTAGTTAGGTCTATTCTGAATGTGTATACACACTTTAAGTACTGAAAATAGACAGTTTTCTCAAAAGGTATTCAGCAAAACAGTGGCTAAAAATGGTTATTTTGAATCAATTTTTGAGGAGATTTGTATTTATGCCCCCTTCTTAAGTCAAAATTCCTGGTGGTACACCAAATGTTTATCAAGTAACTTTGATTTTATTGGTCCTCCATTCTCCAGGTAGGCATCTCTCCCATCCTACTTGCACCAGCTAATGCACTAACCATCCTTAATACTCTCCGACATCTACCTAGACTACTGAAACTTACGTATATTATAGTTAAGTCTAAAGTATGTCCTCTCCCCAAGATTTATTCAAGTAAAATCTTGAATCAGTAAGCCAAGAAACTTGACAAAAATTACAGCTTGGTTTTCTTTTAAAAGTCATTATATTCAACTCCTGCCTATGACATTACCCCTCAAATGAATAAAGGCACATCCATGTTTCAAATGAAGGAAAAATATTCCTAACACATTCTTACTCTGAATACTAAACTTTTAATTAAAATCAGGAAATGCCTAATAAATGTTAGAAGGGGTTATATGAATTTCACATGTAAACAAAAACCCTCCCATAAAAAAGACAACATAATATGCATAAATGAGAAGGATCAAAAGGTGAAAAAAGGCATTAGTTTCAGTCTGTTGTGCAGTACCTGTGGTCTGAGTGGGACATTTTGTTAATACTTCTGGTGCTCTGAATCCAGGTGTTCCTGCCCTGGGAGCAACTTGCTGACACCTTGTAATAAGAGACAAACATGTTTAGAAAATAAAAGTTGATAAATAACTTCTAATTCTAATAATGCTTAATATTATTTTTGGAATACACTTGTGTAAGATGTGTAAACAGTCTAACCCTGCCTTATTCAAGTTTTATAGAAGTTTGAAGCAACTTATTATCTAGCATGAAATTATGTGGCATAACAGACTTAATATATTATCTATTATATTATTTTTATTACATTATCTATCATAAGGTAATACCACAGAAATACTTACTGCATACTTCACTCACAATGACCTTCTTTAGTTTAATTCAACAGAAGCATAATTTTTGCTACAGGCTTGTTTTCATAGGAAACTTTCAAGTTGAGACTGATTAACCAAAGACAAAAAATGCACTAGATTATTGAATTTGGATGGTCTGGCTTTGTATTACTCCACAGCAAACTAAGGTTCAGTATTTCTAAGTGTTGACAAGCATGTACTTTTTATTAGACTAACTAAAAGGTATGAGATTATCATTATTTAAAAAAAAACCCAAAAAACCAAAACTTTCCAGAGCTTTCTTGTATGGCTTAAAGTGCCTTCCTTCTATGGGCTACTTCTGAGTCTGGCAAATTCCTCATGTTTCATACTTCTGAAATGAAGTTGATATCACCATATTTTGACAGTCTGGGAAGAGAGGGACCCCACAGTTTCATGACTATGCCTAGTGAAGCAGAATCCTCTATATTAATCTGTGTTACTTAATGCGTGGATAAAGGCAATAGGAGATCATAACCAAAAGTAACTGCAGAGGGATGGAGCTGAACTGAGTTATTAAGATTCTCTAACCTTTTATTACAACATAAACTTTATTTTTTAAATTAACAAATACAAAAACAGTCATGCTCCCTTTTTATTCTACATTTCATGATTCCAGAATCCAAGCTGTTGGCCTATTAGATTACTAATGACAGATTGATGTATTGTCTTTTAAGTGTTGTAATTAACTTGAGTGATTTGCTACAACACGTGTAGGTGGATAATTAAATACAACAGAAAATCATTAACAGTGAATCTCTCTTGCTGCAGATAGTAGTGAACCAATTATTCCATTAATTCGATGAACTATTCTTGTTTTAAAAGAGCATACTCAGTGTTTTAAGGGTTGCACAGATCAAATGCTATCTTTTACCTACTAAATCAGCTGTCTAGTAAATCTAAGTTTCTGAGTGTGCTTGACAGCACAGCAGACAATTTTACAACATTATCAAAGCAAATTACCTTGAAAGGCAAACACTGCAAACCCTTTCCGTTGCGAAACAGTCACAGGTCAGGTTTGAGGGACAACCACTGGCAGCTTTCCTGGATGCCCCATTGCTCACTGCTTTGGTAGAAATAATCTTCTTCTTTGTTACTAACTTCCTAGATGAAACATCTATCGTCTTTGATTGTTTTATGAGCTGTAATGTAGATATTTTAGAGAAGGTGACATATTAAGAAGCTTCCCTTTACATACAGATAGGCCAGTTCCTAAAATACTAAGACTGAACAGGTGCTCATAAGCAAAAAGCTGCAGTTTTAGAACAGAAGACAGCAAACCTTTTTAACAATATCACAACATCTATAAAATAGACACTGGAGCTTTTAAATACCCTGATTTCTTCCTCTTCTCCTTTAGAAAACATTTTTCAGTGTTTACTAAAATACAATACACATTAGGTACTCCAAAGCTACAAGACAAGGATTTTTCAAATTAGTATCATGTTTCAATAAATCTTTTGGTTCAACATGAAAATTTTTAAAATGTATACAAAATGCCACAGCAACACGCAGGCCCTAACTCTTATTCTACAATAAGTTGATCACTGGTGGCCAAACCCTCTAATTTAGTTGGGGTTTCTCCCTTGTCATATTAAATACTAATTACAAGAAGTACAGAAAAGTATTTATTACAAGTTTTCTCTCTAGCTTCAACTGCAAAATGAAAAGAAAATGAAGCTTCACAAGATAAGTACATCCTAGTTGTACAGATACATGTGTAGGAAAAAAGATAAATTTAGCATACAAACAAGATCAGCTAGAGAGACAGCTACAAAACTAGTTCTTTTGAGTTTCAAAAGGGACCGAAACAGAAATGAAAAATTCTTTGAGCCTTTCAGCAAAGGCACACTTAATAACCTGCTCAAAAACTTTTAGTCCCACAACATCTTGGAGTAGTGACGAGTCCTACAGAACAACTAGTTCTATAATTTTTCAAATATGTAACAGATTGCTCTTCCTGATGAGTCATACTTTTGTGCTCCAGTTCTCCTGGTATGTGGAACTATAGACATTGAAATTCCTCTCTCCAAAGACAGAGCGCTGGACAGAATGGTGCACAGAATCCTCCTACAATACCAACAAAAAGGACAATAAGGATCCTATCTAACACACAGTCAGCTGAATACTGACAGTTAAAAGAAAAAAGTGTGAAGTGACATAAAACAAGAACAGCTACATAGTAAGATATTTTCATGCATCAGTTTACTGTGGATGAAGAAAATATGGTCTAGACAGAACAGCAAACACGCTTACAAAACTAATCACGCCTCAGAAGTACCCCAAGACAATCTGAATGTCATCTGTACTGCATTTGTTACACAACTAATAACTAAACATAGATGAAAAATTATTGGCTTGGAGTTCCACAGTACATGTCATTTTAAAAAATATTTAAGGCTGTGTAAATAGTAACACATGCTAGGGTTTTACACCACCTTTGGCACTGTATTCTATCTAACAGATAATGAAATGCCAATAGGGTTACATAGCCACTTTGATAAGAAAACTGTGATTCTGTGCATCACATTAGGATCCCTCAAGATATGCGTGCACAACTTCTGTTCAAGTATTACATCTCCCCCTGTTGGATGAAGTAATACATTAAACATACGACAATATTAATGAAAAAGACTGAGAACCTTTCCTCCTCTTCCTTGTTTAATCTGTATTTTTGAAAGTGAGCTGGACCTTTTATCAGCTGCTTTTGAGGCTGACTGTTGAGCTATTTGTTTAGGTGCTGTGACACTGACAGAAACCCCATTTCCCAAGGCTATGGTGGGATTATTTTGCAAGCAACTTCCCTGCTTGTCTTCAGAGTGGGCAGTTTTGAGAAGTTCAATTTTCGTATCAGGGGTTCCTTGCGCTAAGCCAAAATCTACCAAGGCATACCTGAAAGACACAAATTTAGAATCAGGGGTCACAAAGTATCCATCAATCAGTTGAATTTACTATTCATTACTTGTTTACTTATCTTTCACATTTTACTCAGTATGTTGCTCATCTGCTGTTGCCAGCACCACAGTCCTTATCTTCTTCCTCCTCCTCTTGTCCTACCTTACCTATGCCCTCAATGTTTTTACCCTATATCCATCATATTTCATTGTTTCTTGTACCAAAATCTTCTCAAATGCATACTTTCTCCAGTGGTGTTAAAAAAATACTCCCAGCAACTCCTTTGTGGGGTTCTTCTAATCCTATAACTCTGAACCTTCAGCCAACAGTGAAGTACAAGTGACTTGACCTCTGCAGGATTCCCATGGGCAGAGAAGAAATGTAGCAGTGAAGACAAACAAGACTAACAATGCTGAGAGTTTTGCCAGACCTCAAGCCATACTACTGGAATTTCCTTTAGTCTTCAGACAGGTAAGACTACATTAGTTCACAATTCGGATCTGCTTTTAAAAGAATTATTTTTTGCTACAACCAGTACAAAGACAATCCAGCTGTCTCTGGGTCTCAGACAAACTCAGTTTCATGGCCTCCACATGTAAAGAGTAGAGCTCAAACAAATGCTGGAAGAGCAAAACAACAGTATGAATTATTTTGACAGATTTAAAAAAACCCAAAAAACAGTATTTCTCAAATTTTTAAGCTTGTGGTTTGACAAAAAATAATCAAACCTCCCCTACAAATTCCCACTACATAGAATCCTAGGATCATTTAGGTTGGAAAAGACCATTAAGATCAAGTCCAACCCTTAACCTAGCACTGCACAGTCTCCCACTAAACCATGTCCCTAAGCACCACATCTACACATCTTTTAAACACCTCCAGGGATGGTGACTCCACCATTTCCCTGGGCAGCCTGTTCCAATGCTTGACAACACCTTCAGTGAAGAAATTCTTTCTAATATCCAACCTAAGCCTACCCTGGCACAATTTGAGGCCCTTTCCTCTTGTCCTGTTGCTTGTTACCAGGGAAAAGAGATTGACATCCACCTCAGTACAACCTCCTTTCAAGCAGCTGTAGAAAGCGATAAGGTCTCCCCTCAACATCCTTTTCTCCAGGCTAAACCCCAGTTCCCTCAGCCACTCTTCATAAGATTTGTGCTCTAGATCCCTCATCAGCTTTGTTGCCCTTCTTTGGACATGGTCCAGGCACCTCAGTGTCTCAACTGTACATAGCACAATACTCACCAATACAGCCACAGGACTGCTAGCACTGAAACAGTACTTTATTCTATCCACTTCAGCTTCACAAAACCAGCAGCACCTCGCTTTCTACAGTCTAATCATTGTAATTTGCTGGAAAAAACCCAACCCTACTAGTTCTAAACATTAATTCAATGTAAAGTGAAAACAGCCCAAATCCAGCTATTTTATCTGTATTGATTTTACTCTATCCACAAGTAGTTTGATACTTGTAAATTTCTATGTACCACAATTCACTATTAGCATTTTTATTAAAAAAAACCCCAACTGATTTTATTCTTCTCATTCTTATTTAAAAAATGTAGTACTAGTACTCAATAGTAAAATCTTCATTTTTTTCAGGTACTTGTCACTCTGAAGTATTATTACATTAAATATGAAAAAAAAAAAAATCCTTCCCTCATCCCTAAACACTGAAAGAAAAATTTTACAAATAAAAAAGCCACTTTTTTAGTGTTATTATTTAAGCACGTGTTATGCAGGTGGAAGGAAAAAAACCCAAAAGCCTAATCGACTCTGTTCTGCTAAGGCATACATCCCCAAATGAGATAACAATATGGTCATCTGGACAGACTTACTCTTTAAGCTGCCTGTTGTAGAGGAAGTTACTGGGCTTGACGTCACGGTGAACAATACCAAAGTGATGAATGCGCCTCAACGCTTTAAACAGATTAAACATGTATTCCCTCACTTCTTCAAAGGAAAGAGAATTCAAAATGTCCTGGAAGATTATGGATACTGTAATTATGCAACAGTTTTAAATTAAAAATTTTTACTACACATAAAAAGTCTGGGACTCACCAAGAAAGATTCATGTTCCAGATATGGCATAACAATAACCACATGGTCATTTTTCCTAAAGCAGTATTTTACTCCCATAACATTATCTTGTCCCCTAGAAGTAAAATAATGTCACTGAATAAAGATCAGAAGACGGATGTTTATTTTCATTTAATTCTTAAAAATTTCAATCAGGCTTTCTGTTATAGTCTGATTTATATTTTGACAGCAGTCAGTAGTTATGCTGTTGCCTCTCATTGCTATGTTCCATTTGACTTCTGCAATTTGCAATGAGGTATCCAAAGATTATCTGTGGGGCCATGATTTGTAGTTACTACTGTAATTAAATGTAGGCCTTAACTTTCATGATACCAACTGCTTAAGAAGGTGCTATTTAGCACACTCTGGCAACAAGTACTCATTCCTAAAACCACAGTTTCTGATTAAGAGATTATTTTTTCCAAGCATTGCAGAACTGGAATATTAGTTATCACAAAGATACATCATAGAATTTCTCAGATGGAAAATACAGCACCATCTGCAAACTGAGACGAGTAGAAAAGGGCATCCATTGCAGGTAAGACATTCCAATTCTTATTTGCTCTTGATAGAAAGAATATACATTTCTGCAGTTAAAAAAGGCAAGCAAAGTGCCAAAACTTAAAATAAATAAATACAGAACAGTGAGATAATGTTTAGTCATGACAGTCATAACTTTTTTTGTTTACGTACCCTGCTACTGTGAGGCACTGAAGTTCAGCAGCAATTCGCAGAGGATGGCTGGTTGGAATCAGGTGCTTCAGAGCCATTTTTTCCTCGTATCCTGTTTGTAGTTGTGCTGTGGCCAAGTAAACTGTACTAAAAGTACCTGTAAAAAGAGGAGAAAAACACTGTCTTCAGCATTTTTAATTAGGTCAATTCAGATTTTTGCAGAAGTGATCTAACTGTTTGCAGTCCCACGGTATACTTGATACTACATCAAAAGCAGATTCTAGAAGAGAAAAATGCAGTTGCCTTTTTCCTACTACTGAATTCAGTGATCTTGTATACAAGTTTATGTCAGTAAAAATGCAAATGTAACACTGTCTAACTTGCTTGAGACAGAGCTCTTTGAATGTAAATTTCCTATCTTTGATTTGCTTTCTTGTCTAGGTTGCTTACTTTCATCTGACATTTAACTCTTCTTACGATGCAAGTGGGCTATATAATGCTAATCTGGAAAGCACTGCCTTTACTATTCAAAGAACTTCTGAAATGGCTACATTTTTCTTAATTCTGCTACCTTATCCATAAAGACTTCTGACATTATGTGTAACTCTACTATTTGTTTGCCCAGAGCGTTACCGCATAGACAGAACATGATAGACCCATTTGAAAAAGAATATTCAGACTGTATGCTAAACTTACCCACTCATACCATTTTAAGAATATTCTAATTCTATCCTTAGGAGGTTCATTTATCCTAATGATCTGAGATATCTGAACATACAAGTTGAAGCATTCTTCCATGTGAATAAACAGTACAAATTACTTTTGATTACATTTTAAGTATTGTGCTTGCATCATGCTAGTTTAACAGTCTGTAAGTGCATACATACATCAAAATGCCAGAAAAAACTCCAAGTACTCCTTGCAGTTAAACAAAAAAAAAATCTGGAGTCCCATACATTCAGTAGAATTGATTATAGCAACAAGGGTTACCAAGTTGACCTCAGATGTTATTTTTGAGAACTACTAAAATGAAAGTGACTCCAGAATGGAATCTTAAATTGAAGCTTTTCGCATAACGCTGCAGAAGTGCAAGTATTTTTTAAAAACATTGTTTGCTCCCAATAACAAAAGCAAAGTACTCTTCATAAACAGATATTTTGTTTAATTATACTGTCTTTTTTATGATAGGCAGAACACCTTTTTTGGAGTTTTTTTGTTGTTGTTTTTGAAACTTTGTATTGCTGTGGTGAATGGAACTGAGGTTATTTGGGGG